TCTTGAAGAGTCATGAGGCTTGAGGTAGTTATAGAGAAGAAGAAGTGTCAAGGACCATGTAAAGAAGGATGAGATGTTTTAAACGGAGGCATCGCTGGACTAGGAACTAGTGTAGGTTAATGTACACAGGAACAGGATTTATTGTGAATTTGGATATAGGCAGCTGGAGTTTGCAATTAAAAGCATTGGCGAGAGCACGGCATGGGCAGATTTCAAAATGTCAGGAATAAAATGTGATATTGGCACAGAGGAAGGTGCTGATTGATGAACAGCTTTTGATTAATGAAACTTTTTTCTAGTTTCTAGTTTATAATAAATAGTCTACACATTACAAGGCAGCTCATCTGTATGGAATGGTCATCCTGTGAAATAGGGAAAGTTGTATTCACAGCACATTTTCTAGATGACCACAAGGGTAAGATTTATTGCCAGCTGGCTTGAGATCTTGAGCGATGTCTGGAATCACTGGTTTATCCACAAATTTGAGAACTATTTGTTTAGGGAGGTGGTCACAACACAGGTTAAGAGAGTGCAGGCAGAGAGGAAATGAGTGACCATCCAATGGTCTAGAGGACCAGTACATAGTGCAGGAGTATCCTGTATCCATCTCATTTACCAACTGATTTTCCATTTTGGATTTTGGTAAGAGCAGTAGTTCCTCAGTGGAATGCAGACTCAACCAAATTCATGGCACCATGCAGGTGTGGAAGGAAGAAGAAGAGTGGAAGAGCAATATTGGTAGCCAATTCAATAGTTAGGCAACAGAAGGGCAATTCTGCTGTAGATGTGACTCTAGGATGGTACGTTGACTCCCTGGTGCAGGGTCAAGGAAGAGGTCATGCTCACATGAGTTCTGACAACATGGGTAGAAAGGGGAATGAGGTGCTGAGAGCAGATTTTTGATAGGTAAGAAAGAAACTGAAAGAAACATGATTACAAAGGCAGTGATTTCAGAATTACTCCCACTACAACATGCAAGTCAGTTCAAAATTAAGTTAAACCCAAATAAATGCGTGGCCAAAGTGGTGTAAGGAATGGTGGGCTTCAGATTTCTGAAGCATTGGGACTGGTTCTGAGGAAGATGGGCCCTGTAAAAGGAGAATGGATAACACCTTAGCAGGATTGGGACAATTTACCTTACAAAACGATTTGCTAGTATTGTTGGGAGGACTTAAACTAGCTTGGTAGGGGGATGGAATCCAAGAGGGAATTCACGTAATTCGTAAGTGAAATTGGAAGGCAATGGATACAAAGGTCAATATTAAGTAGAATAAGAAATGAGAAAAATTTTGAAATCATAAGGTTACAGGTATTCCACTGTATACATTCAGATAACAAGGTAGATGAATTGACAGCACAAATAGAAGTAGACAAGTATACTCTAATTGCCATTACAGGGACATGATTGCTTAATGACCAAGCTGGGAACTGAATATTCAAAGGCATTAATAAAAATGGACTGCAAAAGCTTTGAGTGTTTGTAAAAAGGAAAAGATTAGCAAATACAAATGTAGGTCCATTACAAATGGTGTTAGAACATTTTATAGTGGGGAATAGGGAACTTGGAAAGAGAAACTAAGCAAATTGTTGTGCCTGACTTGAAGGTGGAAGATATTTTTTAAAATCCAGAAATACCAGAGACCTAAGGGACTAAGAAATTTATATTGTTGAAAAAGTAGTACAGTTCTAATAGTTTCTCCAGGAAGTTGATAAATCCCATGGATTTGATGGTCTACACTCCTGAATGTTGGAAGAGGAGGCTGTAGAGATAATGGTGACATTAATGGAAATCTTCCATGTTTCTTCAGATTGGGATGGTAGCTAATCTAAACCTAATAGTTAAGAAAGAGGGTAGAGAGAAAATGTGGAACTACTGACCTGTTAATCTGACATTAATAGGAAAAGAAATTATAGAATATTTTATGAAGGATGTGATACTGGACACTTTTTTTTAAAAAAAATAGTATAATTGGGCCAAGTTTACGTGGAATTACAAAAGAGAAATCAGTTTGATAAACATGTGGGAGTTTTTTTGGGGATGTAACTAGCAGAATAGATAAGGAAAAACAAGTGAATATAGTGTATTTGGATTTTCACATGAGGTCCCACATGAATTGAGAATTGGTCAACATTCATAAACAGAGAGCCAGAATAAATGGGTCGTTCTCAGATTGTCAGGCTGTGATCAATGGTTGGACTCTGGACACTAATAATCTATAATCCATGTTTTGGAAAATGGGGCCAAATATAATATTTCCAAGTTTACTAATGACACAAACTTTAAAAAGGGATGTGAGTTGTAAGGAGGATACAAAGTGACTTTAAGGGGGTTGAAACAGATTAACTAGGCAGGCAAGAATATGACAGATGGCATAATAAGTGAAAAAAATGTGGAGTTATCCATTTTGACAGGAAAACCAAAAATTCAGTGTATTTCTTAAATGGTGAAAATTGGGGAGTTTTGATGTTCACTTGTATAGATTCTACCTTGATTACCCAGTAGGACAAGAAAACTTAGAAACTAGGAGAAGTAGACTATTCGGCTCCGCCATTCAGTATGATCATGCCTGTTCTAGTATCTTTATTCCATAGTCCCACTTTCCCCCAATTTTTAAAATCTAGAACTTTATCCATCTCTTTCCTGAAAATATTGAGTGATTGGCTTCCAGTGCCATCTGTGGAGGAGAATTCCACAGGTTCACTACCCTTTTGAGTAAAGAAATTTTTCCTCCTATCTAAAGAAACCCAAAGTGTCCTCCTCCATGAGTTACTGAAATCTAGCGTGCAGGTGCTGAAAGCAGTTAGGAAAGTAAGTGGTCTGTTGGCCTTTGTTGCAAGAAGATTTGAGCACAGGGATAAAGGTGTCTTACTGCAATTGTATAGCGTCTTGTTGATGCTCAAGCTCATATATTATCTGCAGTTTTGGTCTCCTTATTTTCTTCCACCCACTGTTGTGTCTCCGGCAGCACATTAGTTACCCTGGGATTGCTATATAGAACCAGCAAAATGTTTAGATGGGCCAAATGGCTGCTTTCTGTAAAACCTTATGACTGTTGCAACAGGGAATCATACGTGACTAGAGTTGTATCTGATTAAGTTGTTTGTGGCCAAAGGGGGAATAGAGAGAGGTTTCTAAACTAGGAAATAGAGCTTGTATGTCAATTATTTTCTGCCATGAGCTGTTAGCTTGGTCTGCTAATTTGGGTGGAGTTGTTTGATACCTTCACTAGAGAATAAAGGATGGGACACATTGACACCCAACACCGTGAATGTGCACTTAAGTAAGTAAAACTAGCACGTTATACAGTGAATATAATCTTCAGTATCAACGTAGGCTTATTGAACCATTCAACAGAAACCTATCTAGACTAGCCTTATAAATAGAATCGCTACAGGAGAGGTCAGAATCCAGGAACTGTGTGGCTAGTTACTCACTTCCTGCATCCCCATTATCCTGTCACCATCTACAAGGAACAAGTCACAACTGTAATTGAGTGTGGTGCCAACAACATCAGAACAAGGCAGACCATTTGATTTGAATTCCATAGATTCACTTAAACATTAATTCACTCCACCATCACCACGCCATGCCAACAGTGTATACTCCACAAGATGCAGAGATCCTTAGACTGTATTCCCTGGTTCCAGACTCCCCAACAAGGGAACACATCTTACCTGTATCAAGTCTACAGAGCCCTGTTAGAATTTTATACATTTCAATCAGATCCTGTCTCATCCTTCTAAACTCTAGTGAATACTGGCCCAGTCAAGCCAATCTCTCCTAACAACACAGTTCTGTCTTCCCTGCTGTCAGCCTTGTGAATCTCTTCTACTGTCCATCTATGGCATATATATCCTTTCTTAGTTAGTAAGGCCAAAACTGCACCTTGGTGTGGTCACCAAGGCCATGTATAGCTGCAGTAAGGCATCCCTCTTTCTGAACTCAAATCTTCTTGCAACAACGGCCAATATGCCATTTGCCTTCCTAATTGCTTGCTGCAAGTGCTACCTACTTTCATAGACACTTAGATCCCTTTTCCTTTCTGTTTTTCACACCAAAATGCACATTCACATTTAGCCACTTTGTACTGCCATCTGCCATTTGTTTGCCTAGTCACTCTACTTGTCAAGAGGATTCAAGGAGTTCAAGGTGATTTAGACAACTAGCATTCCCTCCGATCTTTGTCCCAGCTGTGTGGGCCTGCAAGGTCTGTGCATGGCAGCAGTTTCTGGAACTGGAAGTCAATGCCACTATGGGTGTGCCAACACTAATTGCTGTGTACAGAACCTTGGGTAGCTTCACACATGAGCAGGGAGGGAGCATTGCTCACAACTCTCAATCTTGTTCAGTTTTATGTTGTCAGCAAACTTAGAAATATTGCATTTGGTCCCCTCATCCAGGTCATTTATAATGAATAACTGGGACCTAAGTAGTGATACTTGCAGGACCCTACCAATCATGACTGCCACACAGTGAGGGACCCATTTATTCCCACTTCTGCTTCCTATCTGTAAACCAATTCTTGATCCATGCCAATGTATTACCGCCCCCATCCCATGTGCTTTAACTTGGTGCATGACGTCTTAGCCAGAACTTTATCAAAACTTGATCAAATGGGTTCTCCCTTATCTCCCTTAGTGGGTTCTCCCCACTAATTGCATTCTCAAAAATCTCTAATAGATTTGTTCAGCATGATTTGTCTTTCATAAATGCATGCTGGCTTTGTCCAATCCCTGCTAATGCTTTCTTTTAGGGATTCTAACATTTATCCTGCTAATGATGTTAGGTTAACTGATCTGCAAAATACTCATTAAGATTGGATGCTAAAATGGGAATTAATCTGTTGAATCAAAAAACTAAGAACTGTTGACTGAAAATAGGGTTGGAGTATATGGAATGATTACTATGTGCGGACCTGTACTGTATGACAAACAAAATTTGAAAATCTGGTTTTTCATTTCTATTCTTACCTTACATCCACATGGCACTTGTTTAACAGACACCTTCTTCTGAATTCTGGAAACAATTACGATTGCTCTTGCCTCGGAAAATTCCTCACCGATGTGTTATGGCAGATCCCCAGACTCGACTCCAGGATGACAAGGATCCTATGCTGATCCTTAACCCAGATTATCTGGACTGCAGATCTGACCCTGATCCTGAAGGGGACTTGGGTAAGTGGAGTGACTAATTTGAACGAATATCTCTCAAATGTCACATGGGACACAGTAAAGTTTAAAAGAACAAAAGACCAGAAGTAATAAGTAACCTTACCTTGTGCTTTTAAAAACCTGTGAGCTGTAAGAATATTAGACAGTTCAAGAGGTAGGTTTTAAAGAGGAGAGGCAGAGGTTATGAGCAAATTTCACAGTGTTGAAACTAAATGGCCAAAAGTAAAGAGCAAAGTGGGAGGAGACGCGTAAGACCAAAATCTGAGGAAGAGAAAATCTGACGAATGGAGTTTTGTGTTTGAACATATGAGCAAGTGGAAGGACAACGCTTAAAATTATTTAAATTGCAAACGTACAAACTTTAAATTTGAAGTGTTGAGGGACCAGGAACCAATATAGGTTAGCAAGGATCAAGTGATTGGTGATTTGCGGCCTATAATAGGATATGTTACAGATAGCCGAATTTTGAATGAACTAAAATTTATAGCGGGTTAAGAAAGGGAGATTGACTAGGATGGCAATGGCACAGTTAGTCTTGGATGATAAAAATGTGAACAGTTCAATACATGAATGGAGATGGAGAAGGTGTATATATCACAGATGAAAATAGATATCCAATTTAAAATATAAAGATAAATATTTTTCCTGGGTACACTAGGGCCCTCTGGTTTGAGCATTGACTTTAATGACTTCAGACCTTAGCTATATCCAAAATTCAGAAATGTTGCTAGTGATTTGGTGTGATACTGTTGATCTCATAGTATGAGATTGCAGTAACCAGGGAGTGCGGGAGAAGTAAGGTACAAACTTGTTATGAGAATGTAGTGCTAGTGTGTTCAGGAGAGGAAGACGTTGTGTGCTTGTTATTGCTCTAATTTTTTTTCTTGTGTTTAAATTTTTAGATTATCTGTATTTGGAATTTATGTTGCTTCTTCAATTTGCCTCTCCTCTTGCCTGTTTACTTGCATGGTTCTTTCCCATTTTGCTAACTACTTGCATGTTCCTTTCCATTGTTAATCATCACCAAAATTATCTTCTGCATCACTAGTTTTCAATAGATAATTTATGGATTACTCAGCCGATACAGTTCCTTTTTGATTGAATGGATTATTATTTCTCCCTTGCCTCCTTCCTTGCATTCTCCTAACTTTAATAAAAGGCTTTATCACCTTTCACTTGATGAAGATATAAACTCAGAACATCAATCTGATTTTTCTTTTTATGTGTTTTAAATAATATTATTGCAATTTTTAGTGTTCTCTCTTTTTATTTATAGCTAGGACCTGTCTGTTACTGATTTACTGTATTTGCAAACAAGCAAAAATATGATTCAATGCAGTGCTTAAGCGTGACTAAGGATTTTATAAATAATTCAAGCTAAATTTGGTATAAACGCAACACGGCACTTTATCCACAAACCACACTTGCATACTCAGTACGTTCCTACTACTTTGTATCAGAATAGAAACTGAAGGCATGTTTTGTTTTGGTTGGGGGAGGAGGTGGGGGGGCATGAGGAAAGCATTGAAAATACATGGTGATCATTGTGTTGTGGTGGTATTTTAGATTCATATTGGGAAATTACTCAAGCCGCTCTGACTTAGCTCTGTTCTCCTCTCAAATCCAAATGCTATTTTACGCCCTCCCAGCTTTCTCATGGGGTTCAACCTTTTGGTTCTACTCACCTCTTCCTGTTCCAGGTTTCTGGGTTGGCCTGTTTTCATTTTTAACTTGTTTGTCAATGAGCTGTATCCAGCTTATTTTCCCAGCTTTTCAGGCTTCTATTTACCTTATTCTCAAAGCTCCCAGACTCCTGCTTGTGTTTTTCTGAAGTTCCCAATTTCATGTGCTTCCTTCTCAATTTGTGGTCTCCCATTTGCTTGCCTCACTCTTTTATGCTGTACAATGATGGCAGTGTGATCACTTGTGTGCTGTGCGTCAACAGCCGATGCACTAGGGGTGACACAATTGGCAAACGTTCTGTGATGAGGGCCCACCAGCTAATACTGATAAATCTTGGAATTCTCTGTGGTTAGTCATCTGCAAGGCTGCAGTAACTATGTTTGGCAAAGATACAGAAATAAAGATTGGTTTGAAATACATTTTGCTCTCTCATCAGTGAAATGTGCATCCTGTCTCTTAATTCTAGAGTATGTAATAATTTCATGCTAGGCAAGGCATTTGTGCAAAAGTTAGCAAGGTACTATGCTGACAATTTATCGGATCAATTCACAAAGAAATACAAGCATCGAGTGACAATGGTAACCTTCATTCTATTAACTATAGCATGTAAAAATCACAGACACATCACCAAATTACTCCTATATCTAGTGGCACGATGTAGCTTCAGAGCAGGCTGATTTCTGGTAGTCGTGATTTTCTCTCCATGTCATCTTTAAGAGAAGTTCAGAGAGCAGCGGGCACCATGCTACCTTGATTTTGTGGATCTGAAAAAATTGACAGAGCAGCATAGGCCTCTACAGGATAAGAGAGAAAGTGGCTACCCTCACAAGCTTCACAGTCTCATAAGGTCCTTCCATGATACCATCATGACACCATTTATTCCAACAGCTGCTCAAGTGATCATTTTGAGATCAAGAGAAAGATGGAACAGTGCTACATCTTAGACCCTACTCTATTTCGTTATATCCTATTGAGCTGTACTTTCCCTGCCAACATGGAAGATGTATCAATGGAAAGGCAGCCGCTAACTTTGGCGACTAACAAAATTAAGTAACAACAAACTGACCCATACAACAAAAATGCCTATACATAAGGCCTGAATCCTCAATATACTTGCAAACCTTCTTGTGACAATACTATGACTTTCAGAGGTGTATTTTGTCCTGGTGTTTTTTTTAAATGAAGAAACTTTGAGACAGAAGTACCGAGCAGTCTGCTCCAAAGCCAATAAACAGGTTGTGAGGCCTTGAGGTTTTTTTTTAAGTTGGAACAATAAAAGCAACCTGAATGGGTGAGGTCAAGCTCCCACAGAACCAGAATTTTGTTTTTTTAGTTTTAACCTTCGCTAGCAATTGCTGGAGTCTTGAAGCTAGATGTGAAAGCTCTTATTTGTCTCTCTGTTACAGCTAAAGGGTGGGGTTCTGTTCCTGTTGCTAGAATTATATGTGAGACAATCTATTTTATTGAATTTGCCTTTGCCAAGAGTGTGTTTATGGGATGTTACTATATTGTAACAGTTAATTAGTAGTAGTTAATATATCTATTATTTTGTTCAGCATATTTACAGTAAGTCCAATTCTTTTATTTTATTTATTTTTATACTACAGTTAAAATACAAAGTGTGTTTTGTTTAGAGTCGAGTAGGTTGGCCAATGGAATTACACCTGGAAGGCAATGACTTACACTTACCTTTAAAATAAGAAAAAGTTAGCATCTAGACTATCTTCTTATATAGTTTTGAGGGGGTTTGGTCTAGTCCATAACACTTCCATGCCCACAAACATTCATTCCCTCCACCACCAATGCACAATAATAGCAATATTTACCATCTACAAGATGTACTGCAGAGATTTTTCAAGGCTCCTTAGGCAGCATCTTCCAAAGCCACAACCTCTACCATCTAGAAGGACAAGGACAGCACATACATGGGAATATCAGCATTGCAAGTTCCCTTCCAGACCACTCACTGTCCTGACTTGAAAATAATTGCTGTTCCTTCAGTATCACTGGTTCAAAATTCTGGAACTCCCTCTCTAATGGTATTGTGGATGACCCCATACCAAACAGACATCAGAGGTTCAGCAAGGCAGCTCACCATCACCACCTTCTCAAGGGCAACTAGGAGGGATGGGCAATGATTGCTGGCATGAATTCTTAGAAAAATTCTGTCTGGCAGTTAAGCATGGACTACTTCAGCACTGAATGCTGACAGTGGTGGGTAAGTAATTGGAATCTTTTTGTGCAAATTTAACCTTTTTATATTTAGCATATAACTGAATCTACAGTTTAAAATCTGAAGTTGCTACCTTAAGTGGGCTTTAACAAGGCTTTCCAATAACTGGGTCAGATAGGCCTTTTGTGTTAGGAGACTTTAAATCTATTCAACTTATTATGACTTAGGCACTTGAGTGTGACCTTATAATAGAGTGCTGGAAGCTGGGTGACTTAAGAGAGGAAGGGGAAGAAGTGATCTGTTGCCTCTGCTTTTTCTAACATTTCAGCTTCCAGGAATTGGCTCTCACTCTGCTACAGGCAAAGAAGCTAGTTATTTGGTGTCTATCTGGTACATAACTAAAATTTAATTTCATTCCTAAGATTCAAATAGAATAGTATCTAATGGCAAGGTTACAGGACTATATTAAAGCAAAAGATAATAAATAATTGAATAAAATAGTTAATTAAAACACATTAAGAATGGCAGGACAGGTTCTGTGTCACAGATGCAGCATATCACAAAACTCCTACAGCAATTTGGTTCAGGACAAATATATTTGCCCTAAGTAATATCATCAGTGCAGCCTCCGATGAAGCGCCGGTGTGTTTTCCGCCTGGTTTGCATCTGCGGAATAACAAATCAGCTCGGCGAGCCAACCAGCCACAACACCCAAAACCCGAGCTACAAATCTACTCCAAAATCTTATTTGCCCTAAGTGTTTGAAGTTTGAGCCGCTTCAGCTCAGCGTTTGAGCTGCAGACTGAATGACCAATACAGCAGCAGGGAGGGGAATATTACCTGGATTCATTGTACTAGGGATGGCAGTCATACGTGGGATAGAAACTTCTACTTTGGCTCAGCAGGTCTGGGAACATGTGTGAAGAGAAATCAGAGCTAACGTTTCGGGTCTGGTGACCCTTCCTCAGAACTGTTGAGGTCGCCAGACTTGAAACGTTAACTCTGATTTCTCTTCACACATGCTGCCAGACCTGCGGAGCTTTTCCAGCAATTTCTGTCTTTGTTTCTGATTTACAGCATCTGCAGTTCTTTTGGTTTTTCTTCTACTTTGGCTGATGTTTTGCAACAAGATAGTATGACTGTGTGAGAGGCAGGTCAAGAGAATCCAGACTGCAGGAGCACCAGCCTTTGCAATTCTCCCAACAGGTTGGAGGTTCTTTCAGCTTGTTTGGATAAGAGTAGGAGCTGCAAGATGGATGAGCAAACCAACTCTGGCACCATAATACAGGAAGCATTCAAGTTGGGGGAACAAAAGGGAACATGATAGCAGTAGGAGATAGGATTACCATCGTTGTTAGCAGCAAAGAGTGAGTCTAGTCAGAGTTGTGTTGTCTGCTGGTGCGAGAGTTCAGGACATCTGCTCAGGGCTAGAGAAGAAGTCATGTAGGTGAATCTCAAAGTCATAATCTTTGGATTATTACGTAGAATCATGGAATCATATTGTATAGAAAAGGCCCTTCAGCCCATTGAGTCAGTACCAAAACATGAACTACTGCCTACACTCATCTCACTTTTCCCCACAAGGCTGACAGCCTTGAATGTTAGGACATCGTTTCCATCCAAGTACTTCTTAAAAGTTGAAGTTACCTTCCTCAACTACCTACCCAGGCAGTGTACTCCAGACCGCCCTCACTTTTCCTTAAATCCTCTGTTAGCCTCCTTCCATTGACCCTTAAAAGTCTGCCTTCCGGTTCTTGACCCTTCTAAGGGGAACAGTGCTATTCACTATGTCCACGTCCCTCAATCTTATATTCTATCAGGTCCCCCTTCAATCTGAGCCATGTACAAGTTGGCATAGGACAAATCAGATTAGAGAGAGGAATAAATGGCTCAAAGACTGGTGTGGGAGAAGTGGGTTCCAGTTTGTGGGCACCAGTACTGGGAAAAGTGTGATCTGGCCTGATGGGATGATTTCTGCTTGAACCATGCTGGGGCCAGTAGTTTTGTAATCCATATGAGTAGCAATATAGAGATGATATTAAACCATGTTGTAGAGGCAAGGGATCAAATTTGGGAACATGTGATAAATCAAAGAAAATGGTATTAGTACAGGAAATAATAAACAGATCATGACAAGCAAGGTTACAAATTTAAGAGTGAATCAACAGATAAGACTAGAAGATACAAAAAGAATAGAAGGATAAAACAGAAGACTGTATCTGAAAGCATGTATTTAAAACAAAACAGGTGAACTGTAAGTGTAAACAGAATGGTCTGGTAACTATTTCAGAGATATGACAACAGGATGACATGGATTGGAACCTGAACATGGAAGGGTACAGAACATTAAGGACAGAAAGCTAGGAAAAGGTGGAGAGGTGCATCAAATAATTATGATATTGATAGAGGCGAACGACCTAAGTTCAGGAAACCTGGATGTGGAAACAGTTGGGATAGAAATGAGAAATAAAGGTAAGAACTCATTTGTGGGAGTGGTGTGTAAGCTCCCTAACAGTGGCTAGACAGTAGGGTGAAGCATAATGGAAGGTCAGACAAGTATGGCGATATTCATGGGAGATTTTAATCTCTTTTTAGACCAGAAAAGTCAAATGGGCAAAGGTAACTTAGCTAAGGAATTCATAGAACGTTTTCGCAGTAGTTTCTTAGAACAGCACATTCTGATCCAACCAGACAGCAGGCTGCACTAGACCTGGTATTGTGCAATGAAATAGGATTAATTGTTGATCTCTTGTGAAGGCACTCCTAAATAGCAGCAACCATACTATGACTGAATTTTACTTTCAGTTTTGGAGAGTAGATCCAACACTTTTTTTTACGTCTTTAAATAAGGGCAGTTATGAGGTCATGAAAACAGCTGTCTAAAGTGAATTGTCAAATTAGGTTGAAGTAGTAGTCAGTACAGATACAGTGGCAGACACTTGGGGGATATTTCAGAATGTACAAAACATACACATTCAAATTTGTAAGAAAAACTCCCAGGGCACACCCACAATCCACGGTTAACTAGAAAGGCCAAAGATCATATCAAACTTAAAGAAAAAGCATATAATTGCGCACACACCAGTGGCAAATCAGAAGATAGGACCTAGCATAAAAATTTGGAACGTGTAAATCAAAGAGGCGGCGATGGCCTAATGGTATTCTCACTAGACTAGTAATCTGGGTAAAAACCAAAAGAACTGCGGATGCTGTAAATCAGGAACAAAAACAAAGTTGCTGGAAAAGCTCAGCAGCATCTGTGAAGGAGAAAACAGAGTTAACGTTTCGGGTCCAGTGACCCTTCCTCAGGACTGAGTAATCTGGGGTCCTGGGTTCAAATCCCACCACAGCAGATGGTGGAATTTAAATTCAATAAAATCTGGAATTAAAAGTCTAATGATGACCAATGTCAATTGTCAGGAAAAAAAACTATTTGGTTCACTAATGCCCTTTAGGGAAGGAAACTGCCATCCTTACCTGGTCTGGCCTACATGCGACTCCACACCCACAGCAATTTGGTTGATTCTGAACTGCCCTCTGGACAACTAGAGATGGGCAATGAACGTTGGCCTGGTCAGTGATGCCTTCATCTACTGAACAAATAAAAAATGAAATCAAAGAATAGAGATAACATGAAAAAACATTGACTAAAAAATTGATAAGATGGGACAAATCAGACAGAGTTAACCAAAAATATAAAAACATCTTAAAATATTTTTAAAAAGAAAATAATTAACAAAATAAGCTTCTTGCCCTATAGAAAGTAAGTTTACAGTCTCAGTTATTAGTAGAGTGATGGAAGGTGTCATCAAGGAATAATATGCTCAGTGATGCCCAGTTTGGGTTCCACCAGTGCCAATCAGCTCCTTATTACAACCTTAGCTCAAACATGCACAAAAGAATTAATTATACTTTACCTCTAGAATGCATTTGTACTGGCTCGATCACATTTTATGTCACTTCCTAGTAACTCATTCTCACTCTATTATTCGAGTTGCCTTCTTATTCAGCTTCTCAATTTTTGATATCATCTAGCCTGGGTGTATTCAATTAAAATTTCATGGAAGACATATCAAAAAATGTGAAATTTCTCTCAAATTAGGTATGTGTGAATCTGTACTGCTGGCAGTGACTGTTCTTATTTCTTTTCCTAGGAGTGAGAGCACCGATTTATAAAGGCCCACCCCCACCTGTATTCGCCCTTCCTAAAACACCAAAGACTAATTCCAGTGCAGAGCCTCCTTGTGAGGACACGGAAAGAAGTGATGTGGATATTGCAGATCTGGGATCTCGAAATTATGGAACAAGAACAGATTTCTATTGCCTTGTAACTGAAGAAGATATTTGACTGGGGGTGATCACAGTGCAGAGCAGTGAACCATCCGTTCCAGCCCCAAGATGGCTGTCAATCAAGCATCTCTACCATACAATCCCCTACAATCAGTCTTTTTTTTATTTAGTTAAACATTCAGTGCACAGCTGTTCCTGAGTATTTTCATCCTATATTTTGAGAGGGGGAAATGTTGCCATGATATAACCAATTCTAAAGACAATTTTTATTTGCTCCATTCATGCTACATTATCATATTATAGCTGGAATTCTGCCCATTCAAAACAGGTGGAATGTTTTAAAAACTTTGTATACATGAAAGTAACCATTCAATATTGTTTTGACAATGCCTGATCTTCCCTGAATGTTCTGTACATGGCTGGAGAAGCGGGTCGTGAAGTTAAATGATGGATAGTGCATTTTTAGGAATCCACTATATCTCCAGAGCAAAGGTCGGCCTGAAGGTCTGTGATCACGTCAGAAATTTCCCACCACTGCCTTGCAAGAACTGGGCCTCCCACTGCTTCTGATCTCCATCATGGAGTGATGAAAGGGGACATTCTGCATATCCCCTTCTCACTATTCTCATTGCTGCCTACATGTACCTGAAATTGTTGCATTTTTGATCCCTAACACTCTGAATGCTCTGAAATCTTAATCTTAGATGGTAATCCTAATCAGGGCAAGTATGCAATTATTGAGATGCTGGAAGACATGTTAATCTGTAGGGTTGTTTTTTGGTGGTATTGTCTTTCAGCTGCTTAGATGAAAATGACCATTCTTTATTTTATTATATTTCCTCTTATCTTCCTCTGTTGCAATGGAAATAGGCCCATTAGGTGAAGTCTCTCAAAAATACTTTGCCATCCCAGCAAAGGATTTTAGCTGTATGTTAATTATATAATTCCTTCCTATAATGCTGTGACAAATGCAATGCTTTAAACTGTTATCTTCACTCATTGGCTCATAGAAGTAACTGTTAAACTGTTTCGCTCATTTGCTCTTTATCTTCATTTCTAAAATGCAAAATGACTTTTTTAAAATGGCTTTAATTGGTTGTGCTTTCACTTTCAGGGCATTTTATATTTGAATATCTGGGCCTTTTGTGTTTCCTACATATTCCCATTAAATATGTATTCCAATTTTTTTCCCACTAACCCCATGACAAATATCATCTCACACTTAACTGCATTAACTTTCATCTGCCACCTGCTGACCTATTCTGCTAACTTGTCTGACAGTAAATAAAGATTGAGATTCCTAGTGAATGCGGACAGCACTGACCAATCGCTTCAGAGCATCACTGCTTTCCCTTCTTCAATCTGAGCAATAAAATCTAATAATAGCCATTTACATACAAATGGAGGCCATTTCATGACATCTTCTGTCTGCCATCCAATTTAGTTTGTTCATTCTTAAACGATGTAGCCTCTTAAGAGATCAGTTTTGCACTAATTCTGATGCAAATAAGAGGTCAATTATGGAAAAATAGGGATACCCGCACCTTTTCTGTTCTGCTTAGCCATAAATGAATTGTATTATGGCCTTTCCTTGCTTGCCAGCTCAGAAATCACTAATGTATGAGGAGGAGGAGGAGGAGGATCCAGAACCTGGGCTTCCTTAGTTTAAAGGAGATGAAAATTGTGAGACAGGTCAGTGGTTGGTACTGCTGCCTCACAGCGCCAGGGACCCCTGTTAGATTCTGGCCTCGGGCACCTGTCTGTGTGGAGTTTGCGTGTTCTCCCTGGGGTTCCTCCCACAGACAAAGATGTGCAGGTTAGGTGGATTGCCCATAGTGTCCAGGGATATGCAGGCTAGGTGGATTAGTCATGGGAAATGCAGGGTTACAGGGATAAGGCAGATCTGGGTGGGATGCTCTTCAGAGGGTCACTGTGGACTCATTGGGCCAAATGGCCTGCTTCCACACTGTAGGGATTCTATGAACTAAGAGCTGTAATAACCACAACTAGCAAATGTTAAATTCTTTACCTTGGACTCAAACCTAAAGAAAACTTTGAGGAAGTAGTACAGGACTTGAAAATCAAAAACCATTTATTTAAAACTCAACAGCACTAGTCACACTTTTGGCCTTTGAGATTTTTGATAAATATTTCTTTACCTGCCTTGCCTTATCCTGTTATCTCCCTATTTGAAATGAACAGCACTTATTGTATTTCCAGATCCTCTCTCAAATTCTATAAAAACTTTCAGAAAAGGGCAATAAGTTGATAGAACTTGCAGTTTATGACCAGAATATGAATTATGAATGTCTGTGCAAGTTCCCTTGACAGTTCTCCGGAATCCGGACTTTTCTGATCTCAAAAAACACCACTTGAGGTAGGTGCCCCTTTTTCTAATCTATTTGAGACCATAATAAATCAGTTAAGTACCTGTTCCCTCTTTACAAACAATTCAGTTCACTTTGCAACGTTACTGCTGGTCTCCTGCTACATGGAGGGTCAAAGTAATTCAGAGGACCATTTGGTTGATCTGTCATTAAGCCTGGTGAAACCACCATTGAGAAGTCCAGGATGATGGGAAGAATTATTCCAACTGCTAATCCCTTTTCAGAATCAGTGGTCAGTGGTGCCTAACTTTGCTTTGTCCACAGCTGGCTAAAATCACCATGGTACTCACAAGTTGATCCATCACCCTGTTTTAGTGATAGAATTCCTTACTCTCTTTTACCTTCAGAGTGCTTTTCTAGCATAGCAATGGGTCAGCTCTCTAGCCTCCTCTGCCTGCCTGTCTTTCATAAATTGTGTAAGTTTTTCTGTTGATAAAATTGAGTGCATTAGATGGAGTGAGGAAGACAGCATCAGGTATGAAGATGTTGGACTTGCAGTATGATCTTGTTATATTGTTTGCAATGAAAAGAACATCATTCTCTGGAAGGGACCTGAAAGCAGATTCACTGTAGCACAACACTGAAGGTTAGATTGGTCTGCTTGTTACTTACACTGTCTCAACACCTTAGAGTCCATTTCTTAGCAATGGACACTTCCTTGTTGAATTCTCTTACTTCTGTAACTGATGTTACTTTAAATCATATGGCCAAATTTTATTGCTGATTCCATTTCCTAACTTGTATTGTCTTATCTGGAAGTGTTGCTCTTCTGGTCTGTATGACTCAAATAATTGTTAATTCTGTCAGAGTGGAGGTATTTGTGAAGGGCTAATTCAGTTTCCAAGTCTGCCTGTGTCCAATAAAGAGACAGAGTCACTGTAACAGCACCAACTTCTCATCGTTTTCAGCAGTTTTTTTTTGTCCTACAAAAATAAATGCTTTAATTCATGTAAAGATTAGTGAACCTAATAATAGGGAGGGTCTTTGAATGAAGTGGAAGCAAGTTTCAGAGTATGTGATGTTGAAAATACCCTCACCATGGCTGATTGACTTGATCACTTCTGTTCTGCTCAGAAATTATTCTCAAGTGGAATCACAAGAGATGTAAACTCCTGAATTTTTCAGGTCGTCCTCAGGAATCTCTATAATCCATTAAAATGTCAATGAATTATTAAAGCTGAGTGTGTAGGTGCACGCAGGAAGTAATTTCAATAAACCTGATTGAACTAAGTAACTTCATTGCTGTTCTAGTCATTTGAAGCATGTTGTCATTAGTAATTGCAGGAAGTGGTGTAGAAAAATGCGAGAATGGCACATATCCATTAGCACAATGGATATTATGCTAATACACTGTGCTACAGTGTACCATGACTTCTGCTTATACAGTTACCACTGTGCCTCCAAGGTACTCAACACAAATATCAGTTCAAAGAATGGTTAAGATCTTTGGAAATTGGATGTGTACGATCAACATAGACAATCAAGCTTCCAGCAGTCAAGAATATTATATTATCCTACACATTTCACATCTATCTAGCTGCAACAAGATCATAAAATGTAGGAGCAGAAGTAGGCCTTGACTGATTGGCTAATCCTCAACTCCTTTGCTGCCTTCCTCCCCACCAACCCTCAACCCGTAACACCTTTGATTTCCTTACTAAAAGACCAGTTTATCTCAGCCTTGAATACAGTTAACCATCCAACCTCTACAGCCTTCTCTAGTTTAAAAAAAAATCTAGAATTCACTAACCTCAAAAGAAGTTCCTCATCTGTCCTAACTCAGCTGATTATGCTCAGTGAACTAGTAGTAGCTGGTGGAACAATGATCCAGTATTTACTCCATCCACCAAACGCAACCAGCTCTCCTCTCCAACCAACATGTCTCAATCATTAGCGTTGTCCTACACACGTGATATCAAATAGGCATTTATGCATTAGCAGTTCATTTAAATCAGGATGCAGCTGCCACTGCTTCAGTTGTACGTACAAGCTCAAAAATGGATAAATGTGCTGCTCAGTGTGATACTTTCCACGCTGAATAAAGGGTTCAATACCTGGTAAAAAGGTAAGGGAGGCAACAGCCTAGTGGCATTAATCGCTGGAATGTTAATCCAGAGACCCAGATAACATTCTGGGGACCCAGGTTCAAATCCTACCACGGCAGATGTGGAATTTGAATTCAATAAATATCTGGAATTAAGAATCTAACAATTACCGTGAATCCATTGTCAATTTTCAGAAAAGCCCATCTGGTTCACTAATGCCCTTTAGGAAAGGAAACTGCCACCCTTACCTGGTCTGGCCTCCTGTCCAGACCCACAGTTGACTCAACTGCCCTCTGGGCAATTAAGGATGGACAATAAATTTTGCCTCGCCAGCAGCACCCTCATCCCATGAAAGAATAAAGAAAATAGTAGTACCTGGTTAGCTAACCTCAGATTCCTGGCATTGCTGTTTGTTTGCCACAACTTGTCTTGGTGCCTAATGAATTCCACCAGACAGGTTTAACTCATTTCAAACTCAAAAAATGAAAAATGTCCAGTTTTGTGATATCAGAAGCTGTAGTATCTGTGGAACTGCATCTCCATAAAGAGAGAGGTAAAGGGAAAACTGTGGTTAAACACTAGATCAAATAGTCACTAGGTGCAGGAAAAGGTCATTCACACTATCTAATCTGTACCAACCTCCGATGAGCATCACACTCAGACCCAGACTGCAAACCTATTCCTGTAACCCTGCATTTCTCATGGCTAACCCACTTAGCCTGCATATCCCTGGACACTGGACAGTTTAGCATGGCCAATTCACCTAACCTGCACATTTCTGGACTGTGGGAGGAAACTTGAGCACTGGCAGAAATCAATTGATTAGCTAGAGGCTTTGATCTCTGCCTCAAATCTTGCTAGATTGGTGAGATAAAAGTTTTAGTAGCTGTAAATATTTTACAAAGTTAAACTGAAAACCTTATTTCCACTCTACAAAACAGCCTCTAGGTTAGCACTAAAATTAACTGTGCTACAGGACAGGAAATCAACAAATGAAACAGACAACAGGCACTCTAGATGAGTGCAGAAACACAGGCATGTATACATGAACCCAGTGTTTAATAACGATAAAGTTAAAATGCTGTATTCCCTTGTGCATAAGAGGGAGAAGTGTGTGCCACAAAGTCCAGGGCACAGCATAAAATATACCGGAGTCAAAGCTGTGTTAAAAAGGTGATCTTTATTGTTACGTATTCACAGAACAGGCAGGTTGTATACAAACCCACTGGATGCAGACATGCTAAACATACGGGATATTACACTTAATATACTCCAATGTGTACAATGGTTCAATCCATCTCAGACATCAGTCAATCCCCTTCTGAAATCACTGCTGTATAAAAGCAGCAGCAAATGGGTGCTTCATCAGAACTCCCCTGGGTAACAACAGATCTGAGTGATAACCATGTCTCTACTGCCAACTTGAAAGATCAGAAGGACCATAATTGAAAATACTTGTTACTTTTCTAATTTACTGGAACACTGAACAAATTGTCATTCAGTGCATTACTGGGATGACCTCACATTTGATAAGTACACGCTGACCCAGATTTAAGACTGAACGTATAAAATCATAATCATCATTGGACAAATGTGCCTACACTTTATAAACAAAAACTGTACATGTTTTTTACTTGGTGTGGGAAGGTGGACAAAGTAGCTGTTTGCATGATAGAAGCTCCCACCTAATTTACGAGTAAATCTGACAATGGAGACTGGAGCAGGACTAAAATTAAGATAGTTATTAGTTGCCTGCTAACCAATCACTTGATTCCTTTTTGAACATGGGTAGCAGCTAAGTGCAATACCACGTTGAATGTTTCTTGGGTAGCAAATGGTCTTGGTAAATATCCAGCCTTGTGTTTAGTCATCCTTCCGTCTGTTTGATCAACTGATTGAAACCCCAATCGAGTTTGGCAAGGAGACTAAGGCACTGTTCTATTGGACTTCTAAGAACACTCGTTTGCAGGGAGTGCTTTATGGTTCTAGGCACATTATGGAGCAGCTTTAGAGAGGTGGGTTTCAGATTTATGTTCTGATGTTTACTCTGGCAGAAGTCACAGCGTAGTTTTCCCAAGGTAACATATTATCTGTATTCAAATACAGAGTGTAGAAATGGGTTATGAAAAGTACAAGTGCCCAGATTTGTTTTTAGTGATTCCCTTTAGATTAGAATGACAAAATTAACAGCATTTTACAGTAAAATAAAACTGCTGAAAGCAAGGCATCAGAGCTTATACAAGGAATTTTTCGAACCACCAGATAACCAGCAAGCCCTTCAAGTTGAAGGTATCCCACAGTACACAAGCTGGGAGTTAAGCAGATAGACCCCAGTGTCTGAAACCCTGATATAAAGAAGTCGCCTGAAATGATACAGGAAGGATGATCTATTTTTAGTTTACACTGATACACAAGCCATTAAAATACTGGAGACTGGTGGGGGGCACAGCCAAATTTCCTCTAGTTCAGAGCTACAATTCTATAAATGACCAAGTGGTAATGCAAGAGCAAAAAGCACAATAATAGGCCAGGTACAAATTTTGACTAGCCCCTTTCATGAGTTACTCACTGCACTGGTTAGATTATACATATATACTTTTTTAAAAAAAAGGTACCTGCAGTACAATGGGAAGGAAAAAAAAATCAATACTTTGAAATCAGTACATTCATTTTGGAAAGTTTGCACCATTTTAGTGCACACTGATCACAGACGGTTCACAGCTGATGCAGTTGTCAGAAAAACTTCTTATAAAAAATGTTGAGTTCCAATAACTTTAGTATCCAAGTGTTCATATTCATCTGGTTGAGGAACCCAAGGCTTGAGATCAAAAGGAGCACCGAGCCCCCTCCTGCAGCATAATGGGCATCCAATCCTTTTCCTTAAATAGTCTTCATACTGTGCTGCAGTATACAAGCTCTTTGATAAAGTTGGTAATTTACTTGCTGTAGAGCTGATGGGTGGGTACCAGATGTTAACTGCACACCAATTACTTTCATGAAAGCTGCAGCATAGCACCAGAGGAGAACCGTCAATGTCAGGAAAATTTATTTTTTTATATATATATATATATATAAAGAAACATTATATATATTTTAAAAAACCGAGTGTGACAAGTGGCAACATCACAGATGATAAGATTAGTTTAGGGGTCATCTTATGACAGGATCTATTCCACTACAAAGCTTCTCTTTCAGCTGCGCTCACCAAGGATCCTGTGAGGTGGCAGCAAAAGGTGCCCCTTTAGTACACAGAGGCATTTCGGATCCCACAGCACAGCACCATGCTGAAAATCATCTCAAGGATCTGAAATGGAGAAAAGGAAATAACTATACAAGAGGAAAAATGTTGCAAGCAACATCAGTTTCAAGTCCTATTTAGGCAATAGCTGATTTAGATCGTAAAAGCATTCCATAATTCTTGATCTGCACCTGGGTCACTTATCTCAGCCCTTTCAAAAAGAGATTTCTAATCTCTATCCAGCAGGCCTGGTGGAAAATGTGCGTGGGGCACTGGAGAAAGATACATTCAAGTTCAACAAGGATTACGGGGGCGAGAGAAAGAAAAGTAATAAGGCAAGTTAAATCTAAAACTTGCTAACTTTCAGTCCATCAGTGCTGAATTGAGAAATCATATCAAGTATCAGTATTTACGTTGAGCAAGGATGGTCTTGCATCCCTATAATCCTTTGATTCATTCCAACCAGGACCACAAAAGGATTAAAAAAAAAGGGACTTGTGACTTCTGGTTCTTTACAAAACAAAGATCAAAAAAGACAAACTCCCTGTATTATCTGGGATTCCTGCTGTTAGAGACTAAAACAAGGTTCATACCATGATGACTGCAACAATGACGGCAGCAATCCCAATGATGTACAGTTTCTTTGTAAACAGCTGGTCAATCCGTGTGTGACAGTCGATCTAAGAAACCAAATCACATTAGCAAAGCACCTTGAGCCAGGTCGGCCAATCATTGCAACTGTCTGGAAAATTACAGCATTCCATAGATTACCCTCAACACACATCACTTGATTTGTCAAGTAAGCCACTCAGTGTTTTATCAATACCTGGAAGTTTAACTGGATTCATTTTGTGCTAATTTCAATTCACTACCTGACATTGTTCCCACTTCCTATGACAGATCCCAACTATCAACTCTACACCTACAATCATTCAAGCTTTTTGTTAAAATAAAAAAAAATTTAAAAAAAAAAAGGCTAATGGTACTTTTGATCATAGATAGAATGACTAAAGAACAGGAATGTCAACTCCATTACACTTTGGTATCTCAATATGTTTGACGCACAGGCTATAAAACATTCCCACAACTCTACATGAATATTTTTGACAAAGTTTCCTTAGCTAAATTGGCAGTGTATTATGTTTGTGATTTCAATTTCAAAATGAATGTGGGACAGTTCTCTGAAGGTTTGTTTCAAAAGCTCAGTCAATTTGGAACAGTGACCTAAACGCAAAAGTTCAAAGGGAGAATGTGACTGAAGAGCATATTTGATAGAACAACCTCTACTGATACAAGATAAAATGTTTATACTGTTGAGTCTACAACAAGCAGAACACCACATATAGGGGCAATTAGTTTAGTTTTGATTTTAAAACAGAAGGTTCAAAGTTCTAGCTCAGGAAAACTTTATTCAGTTCAGCTTAGTACAGAAGAAGAAGAGAGAGCAGCTTTAATCCTAGCCTAGTCACCTCAGAAGTCGCTGGAATCTGTGGAACTTCAAAACCAGAAGAATTCAGATAGAAATCTTTCCAGTTGTTAGAACTGAAAACTTTAGGCCATTAGAAATGAGAGGTCATGCTCGCAGACTTGGAAAGGAATAATGAAAAACTGAAAGAAAAAAAACTGGAAGCAGTGAATTAAGATTTAGAAAGCTGAGATAGGAATGATACATCTTTGGGATTGAGTATCTGCAATGGAATGTCTTGGGAAATAGGTTGAGAAGCTTCATTTTGATGGTGCTATTTCTAACCGTATTACTTATAGGTAAGTATTTTTCTTGTGTAATGAACTTACGTCCTGTTGATAGAGAACATCTGCAGTCTCATGTGCACATCTTCAGCAACTAACCACAAAAGTTAATCGTATGATCTGTCAAGGCAGGTTTCATTTTGAGATCTGACTTGTCCAGTATTACTATCAAGTATTTTATGATTTAGCTGGTGACCAGAGCTGATCGCGATCGCTATCGCTATCGTTATCCGCTGAATTTACAACATTAGGACATGGATGGGATAAAGCAATCAGCCCCGGTCTCCAAAACTAAGAGTGTACAGAAAGACAAAATACTCAATATCTGTGGAAAGGAATGAGCTAGATGGTATTATCAAACCTTATTTTGGATACCTTAGGTCAGTTTGTAGCGCTTGTTCAAATCAAAAGGTTGTGGGTTCAAATCCTACCCAAGAATAAAACTTAGATCAATACTCCAACGAGGACTGACAGTATCGTGCATAGAGATGTTGTACATTTGTTCCTTCGTTTGTACATAAAATATCCCACAGCATAATCTTTAAAAAGCAGCAAGGAAGTTTTCCCTGATATCTTGATAAATAGCTCTCAAACAAAGTCATTATAATAGATTATCTGATCATTGATTTCACTCCTGATTTTGGAAGCTTGCTGTGTGCACATTGACCATTGCTTTTCATATATTACATCAGTGAAAAGGTCTTATATAAATGCAAACTGAAAAGATAGGTGGAACATGGAAGGACAGAGTGCAAGATCCAGAAAATGGAGTTGAAGATGGGATACAGTGAACCAGTATAGGTCAAAGATTAAAGCAATCTGACAATGAGACTCAATGTAAAGCAAGCACTTAAGAGTTTATGAATTCTGGGAGATCAGAAAGAAGGAAGGTTAAAATCAAAATAGCTCTAGCTTAGAACTGACAGAAGCTGATGAGGAATGAACATTGAAATTGGACGATCCAGTTGATCCAAGACTAAATGGAGGGCAAAGGATGCTATAAAATATCAGCTAGGGGAGCAGATTGAGATAAGAACATTAGAGCAAGCAGCACGATTTACAAAAACGTTACTCAGAAAAATCAGTAATAGGTCCCACAGTAAGAAGATGCCAAAGGTGTCTGCAGGGTCATTCAGGACAGATTTGAGCAGTAACAGGGAACTGCAATGAGAAGAAATAATGAAGGGAACAAAAAATATAAACTTGCTCAGATAAAGGAGCTTCTCATAGCATTGATCACATCCTTAGGAGGCCAAAGCCATTCAATTACTGTGGAGATGTAGTCATTGTAATATATGCAAAATGACTGCTGTGTTTGCTTACAAGCATCACAAAGCAAATAAGATGAAAGCTCAAATAACGTTTGAGAATTTCCTATTGGAACAAAATAAACTGGAAAAACTTAGCATGTGAGGCAGCATCTGTGGAGAGAAACAGTTAATAATTCAAGTCGTTTATCTTTGATCAGAACTAGAATTTTGCAGTTTGCACCATTGTAATGGTTATTAACATTATACAATGAGCACAGTGGATAGAAATGAGGAAAGCCATTCCCCTCTCCTGGCCCATCCAACCAGAAAAGTGGAGTTATCCAGTGTCTCTTCTTCCTGTTCCACACCCCGCCCCCCACCTTCGCACTTCAAAATACCCCAACACTTGCAAGTAGTTGGTAAAGGTGTATGTAATTGGAAGTGAAAATCATGTGATCAATTTTCTTTTTTTTTTTTAAGAAGTTATTTTACCACTGGCCCCAATTTACAATGCCAAAAAATAGGCATTAGTAACAGTGAGAATCCATGACTTCTAGAGCACTCTTGTTCAAGCTGAACAGCTAATTATCTTGGCTTTCTGCAGGCCCACTCCCTCCATTTTACCTCTTCAAAAATCAATGGTTTAATTGGTTTGCTGACATAACACTGCTACTCCTGCTGTAGAAATAATGCCAGTAGGCTCAGTTTACAGTCATGCAGCATGGAAACAGATCCTTCATCCCAACTCGTCGACCAAATTTATCCAAACTAAATTAGTCCCACTTGTCTGCATTTGGCCCATACCCCTCCAAACCTTTCCTATTCACATACCTGTCCAAATGTATTTTATATGTTGTCACTGTACCTGCATCTACCACTGGCAGTTCATTCCACATCTGAACCACCCTGAGAGAAAGTTGCCCCTCAGGTCCCTTTCAAATCTTTCTCCTCTCACCTTAAAAAATATGTCCCCAAGTTTTGAACTCCCCCCACCCTAGGGAAAAGACCACTGCAATTCACTTTATCTATGTCCCTCATGGTTTATAAAGGTCACCCCTCAACTTTTACACTCCAGTGAAGAATGTCCCAGCCTATCCAGCCTCTCTATTACTCAAACCCTCTAGTCCTGGCAACATCTAGTAAATCTTTTCTGAACCTTCTCCAATTTAATTTCCTTCCAGGATAACACTTTGGGTTTAAGATAAACAATTGTTACTGATCAAGAGCTTTCTATAATTCAAATGACGTAGTCAGGATAAAAAAGGTGCAAATCTGCAGGATGGTGGTAAGTTCACTGCTAGTCCTGAATGTGCAATATTTGAAAGTGACTTTTAAAAAAAAAAAAAAAAAATTTGACACTGGTTAGTTCACTGCATTATAAAATGCAGGAGCCAAACAATGAGAAAATGTCCATTTATATATCTTGAATTCAACAGTTCACAAAGGCAATTTGGGATGAGCCTTGCCACATCTGGTGAATTAAAGAGCAAGTAGCAAATGGGTAAAACACTTCAATTACAGGCTTTGAAGAAATTAATACTGCTCCATAGATCTTATAACCTCAAAAGGCAGCAGGATCACCATACAAGCTAATGAACTAACCAGTGGGGGGAAAAAAAAACCTGGGCAAGTGAGCTTTCTCCAATTTGAGTATAAGCCATCAGTTCACATTGCAAACATCTACTTTAACATTGCCAGGTTTAATTAGTATCACAAGGCACTGTGATTTTGCTTTAGTCACTGGCCACACTGAACTGATCTGAATAAGGTTCACTGACAAATTTTGTACAAGATCAGCACAAGAACAGAGTATATGACTGTCCAGCGCATGGCATTCGGAGCTAGTTACATTTATACTCAAGCACTGACACATTAGCCTAAAATTATGTAAAGTCCAGGAGAAGGGCTCTAACTCATGATTTTCCTGAGCCAAAATAAGAAGATGCTAGAGCACAGGAGGTACAAGTGTGTGAGAAGCAGATGGAGAGAAAAGTGCCAAGAATTAGCTGGAAGAAAATAACAGGGAAGATAGTCTCAAAGCCTCATGGAGGTACACAAAATATTAAAATGGCACATAAAGGCTGGGTGAAGCTAGAGTAGTACATCAAACTAAGCTGCCTGGCAAACTAATAGGTATCCAAAACGTAGTAGGGAAACGAGAATGAGGCTGGAAGATAAGGGGTTTGAGCTTAAATGAATTGAAAAGCCTTATCTTCAGCCATTCTGCACACTGAGAAACTACTTTAAAAATTTGACCATGTGATTTTCATGTGCAATTACACATACGTTTATGAACTATTTGCAAGCTTTGGGGAATTTTGGTTGGGAGGGGGAAGAAGGGGATGGCATGGGTGGGTCGCTTGAAAGAGAGACACAGATAGACACCAAGTGAGTGACTTTGCATCTTTCTGGTTGGACAAACCAGGGGAGGGGAATGGCCTTGCTGATTTCTCCCCAAATTGTGCTTATTATTATACATCAGCTGCCACCTGGTGGAGCCATTGAGCTGTTAAACAGGGACATTAAAAATGCATAGTCAGCTTCTGATACTTGCTGCAGAACGAAGTCCTTTCTTCCGGGTTTCAGGTTATAGCCATAGGTGTAATTTGCTTCATCATGTTGCTGATGAAACTGGAAATGTCCTCATTCCAGATTCGTGTCAATAAAATAGCACATGACTTTAAACAAAAAAAAGTGAAAGCTGACTATTTCACTCTGACATTCTGTTCCACTTTTCACCAATTCTCCTTAGGGCATCAACTTCCACTTGGCTACACTAATTATATGCCCCATGAGGTGCATTGAGCCAAGCCCTTTTGCTCATGGACCTGAACAGCAAGTGTTAGACAGCTCATGGATGGTTTCATCCTTTCCCCTTATCGGTCATTTGGAAATGGGCCCTCCACTTGGTTTTCCCTTCTTTAGCCCATAGGTTGATTACAAACACTATAGGCCCTGTCCCAGCTAACAAGACAAATCAGAATTATAGATAGTAGGAACTGCAGATGCTGGAGAATCCGAGACAACAAGGTGCAGGGGTGGATGAACACAGCAGGCCAAGCAGCATCATAGGAGCAGAGAGGCTGACGTTTCGGGCCTAGACCCTTCATCAGAAAAGCTTGGGTCTAAATCAGAATTATACCTGTGTGCCCAAGTGCTTAAACCATCAGATAACAGAGCTCCTCCTTTCAGTAAGAAAAATAAAGTAAGACTTTAAACCAGCTCTAGAACCAAATCAGTAGTTAGAAGTATGCAAACACCAGGATAATTAGCAGGTACTTACTTTAGAGAGCAGACCCACCCCTGTCTGCTTGGGGCACAGCTCACTTGCCACAAACTTGCTCAGCGTGTTGGCTCCACAGCAGTCCAGCTTGGGGGCGGGGTGGAGAGAGAAGAAAATAATTGAGTTGAAGTATAAGCTAACCTTGATAATGATAACCACTAGCAAGAAAATTAAATAAATCTAAGTCTTCTAACACAAAAGGAAAGTTGCAGCGCAGCACAACTGAACACACCAACCAAGTATCAGTCATCATCCCAAGTGTCTGACCTGGGTTAAAGAGCCTTCATGATTTTCTGCCTATTCAGAATATTTACAAATTGTGCAGGCTCTCTTGGGTATGATTACTTTGGTTTTGTTGTTCATTAATTAATTAATCCTTTCTAGGCACAGGAACATGAAAACCTGTCTTCTGCATTAACATTTTCTTTTCTTGCACATGATCTCTCATTTCCCCAACTTGCCCACCTTAACCACATGAAATGCCTCCTGGTTAGCAGTAGAGACTCTCTCAGGAACTTAATATTGACAGGTTCACTCCGTCGTATGTTGGGGAGATGGGTGAACAAGCTCTGCTCTGCTCAGCTCCATATGATATAGTATGGCTGAGATAGCTCATTCCCCTGAAGAGGAATCAAACCCCAGGCTCCTTCTCAGGCAATGTCTTTATCTGTTTTAAGCTATACAATACAATTTCCCTTTCACTGAATTAGAAGTTAATGACAACTTCTAATTCAATGCTGAATTTAAAAAAAAAAGTGAGGTAAGCTCTGTACTTCTCCCTAGCTGAAACAAATTCACAGAAACAGCAGTAGCACAGTCACATTTCCCTCCCTTGCCGAGAGGAGGAAAATGGGCAGATAACAACAGCTTCCAATCTGAATAAAAGCTATAAAAAAACAAACAAGAAATGTTCACGGGTTTTTCTGTACCCTTGGCACGAGTTCAGCACAAACCCTACAGAAATGACAAACGGCTATTTTTTTTAAAATCTTGGCAGTGTGGACAGGTTGGAGAGTTCTCCCCAGTGTCCCATCGGAGAAAGCAGATAGAAATTCTAGGCACAGACAGAAACAGCAATCGGTCACAAAAGGATGCTCATTCACAGCCAGAATTACTTCAAGTAAGGAACATAATTGAGAATGTGTCTCACCGCCTGGTGCATTGCAACCAACACTGCTTTAGCTTGCTCTTTCTTCTCTACATTTTGCAATGGTGTATGATAAGTCAGAGAGGCCTGGTTGTAGAACATTTTCAGCTCTTCAGCTACCTGTGTGTGGGGAAGGGGGAAAGAGGAAAGGAAATCAAAGCTTAGCTCCCCACAGGTTAAATAAGTGTTTTATATCAGCGGCAACACAAGACCTCAACTTTTAACGTTCTATGTCCACAATACCTCAAGCATCATAACCGAAGAGAATAGTGCATTTTTCATTCATTCCTGGTTTTCTCTACCAAAAGGACCTGTGCTCCTGCCAGAAGGAATCATCCAGGAGATTCCATTATTATTCCCAATATTTCCACTCTTTCCCGTATGCACCGAGGTTTGCTGGAATCTAGTTCCAAAAGTGCTGGTGGCAACCCTCTGGTATCTTAACTGAGCTGTAGCACAAGATGGAACCAATGAGTGAGTGTCAGCTGGCTATGACATTCCCTGCTCTCTCCTCCTGCAGCTTACCTTCTACACGTACAGTATCCAAACACCACCTCCCAAAATAAGATGCTGTAAACTTTATAGGTTACTTGCATTTAATGCTCCACAAATCCCACCTCTCACCCAGCACAAGGCCCAGGAGTCACGTCCATGCAGTACAAATCCACAATGTTTGAAGTGCCGCTCTGACCCACTAGTACATGGCTTGACAGCCTCACTCCAATATAACGAGGATAAATCTTTCCCCTTCTCCGGTATAAAGTCAGCTAGACCCTGAGACAACAAGGTGCAGAGCTGGATGAACACAGCAGGCCAAGCAGCATCATAGGAGCAGAAAGGCTGACGTTTCGGGCCTGGACCCTTCATCAGAAATGGGGGAGGGGGAAGGGGTTTTCTGAAATAAATAGGGAGAAAGGGGGAGGCGGATAGAAGATGGATAGAGAGGAGAGGATAGGTGGAGAGGAAACAAACAGGTCGAAGAGGCGGGGATGGAGCCAGTAAAGGTGAGTGCAGGTGGGGAGTTAGGGAGGGGATAGGTCAGTCCAGGGAGGACGGACAGGTCAAGGGGGCGGGATGAGGTTAGTAGGTAGGAGATGGGGGTGCGGCTTGAGGTGGGAGGACTGGTTTTGGGATGCGGTAGGGGGAGGGGAGATTTTGAAGCTTGTGAAATCATCCCTCACACCCCGTCCACGCAATAAGAGCCAAAAAAGAATCCCCCTCGTCCTCACATACCACCCCACCAACCTCTGGATCCAACGCATCATCCTCCGACACTTCCACCATCTGCAATCCGACCCCACCACCAAAGACATCTTTCCCTCCCCACCCTTATCTGCTTTCCGGAGGGACCGCTCTCTCCATGACTCCCTTGTCCGCTCCACACTCCCCTCCAGCCCCACCACACCCAGCACTTTTCCCTGCAACCGCAGGAAGTGCTACACCTGCCCCCACACCACCTCCCTCACCCCCATCCCAGGCCCCAAAAAGACTTTCCACATCAAGCAGATGTTCACCTGCACATCTGCCAATGTGGTATACTGCATCCGCTGTACTTGTTGTGGCCTCCTCTACATCAGGGAAACCAAGCGGAGGCTCGGGGACCGCTTTGCAGAACACCTACGCTCGGTTCGCAATAAACAACTGCACCTCCCAGTCGCGAACCATTTCAACTCCCCCTCCCATTCCTCAGACGACATGTCCATCCTGGGTCTCCTGCAGTGCCACAACGATGCCAACCGAAGGTTGCAGGAACAGCAACTCATATTCCGCTTGGGAACCCTGCAGCCCAATGGTATCAATGTGGATTTCACAAGCTTCAAAATCTCCCCTCCCCCCACCGCATCCCAAAACCAGTCCAGCTCGTCCCCGCCTCCCTAACCTGTTCTTCCTCCCACCTATCCCCCCCTCCCACCTCAAGCCACCCCCCCACCTCCCACCCCCTAATCTCATCCCGCCCCCTTGACCTGTCCGTCCTCCTTGGACTGACCTATCCCCTCCCTAACTCCCCACCTACACTCACCTTTACTGGCTCCATCCCCGCCTCTTTGACCCGTTTGTTTCCTCTCCACCTATCCTCCCCTCTATCCATCTTCCATCCGCCTCCCACTCTCTCCCTATTTATTTCAGAACCCCCTTCCCCTCCCCCATTTCTGAAGAAGGGTCTAGGCCTGAAACATCAGCCTTTCTGCTCCTATGATGCTGCTTGGCCTGCTGTGTTCATCCAGCTCTGCACCTTGTTGTCTCGGATTCTCCAGCATCTGCAGTTCCTACTATCTCAGCTAGACCCTGCTCCTTTTCCCTAAATATAAGGACTTGTGCCTCCCTCTTCAAGTATCTCTCTACACCCAGTCCATCAAGTACAAGGTTCAGTAGTCCTCTCTCCAATTACAGTACATTCAGGAGACCAAAATACTGACCTCATCTTTGTTTACGAATCCCCAGATCCCAGCAGCCACCTCACAAGCAAACAGGATCACCAGACAGGCAAAGAACTGATGGAAAGGGAGAGAGAAAGAGGTCACATTAATGCAGCTTTAGTTAATAAAACCTGTACAGGAATACTATACTGCACTGGCTTTGAACTAATCTGCTTATTGCAACTAACTAGTGTATAGTGCTATTAAAATTAACAAAACATCAAAGCACTTCACAATGGAAAGGAAGGAAATGGACACCATCATAAAGCAAGGATGACCAAAGTGTAAGAGCTCAAGATAACATTAGAGTGAGTAGGACTAAAGGTGGTTGAAATTTCTATCACAGACAGGGCAGTACAAGACAACTGTGAAGGAGGGATAGAGGATCCAAGAACATCAGTTGTCTATTAATAGGATTGCAGCAGTGGGACTGAAAACATGTTTACTGCTTTGATTCAGACATCTCTAGTGTACGCCTGCATCTACAATGGAGAATGAAAAACTATTTCAAGCACTTCAGCAGCATATCAGTTTGTTTCAATGACCAGCATTCATGGGCAGCAGTGAGCTCAGTACCCCCTGGTACAAGACACTCCGTACAATACAGACTTACATCACTGCAAAAACTAGCCAGCTGCTTTTATTTTAAAAAAAAACGCTGCAAGCCAGCCAATACGAGGCTGGAGATGACATTCTCATCACTGAACGCCAATAGACCTTAACAATACATCAAAACTAGTCACACTCAAGGATGGGCATATTAATCCAAACAGGGTGTAAAATGCCATATATACAAAGCACCAAGGGGCACACAATCATGGTGACTGCAAGGTAGTTTGCTCAATGGTTTAATGAAAAATGTGGTTATTAATTACTGGAAAGATGTGTATCACAGGCAAACAAAGGACCATCATAAAAAGGTATAATAAAAACCAGTGAGCCAATGGGAGGAGTGATGAAAATCTGAGTTACATAGCTGGGTTAAGGGGAAGGGGGAAAACGCAAAAGGAGGGACTCCACAGTGAAAGGGCCCATGCAGCAGAAATTACAGTAGCCATCACTGGGCAAATGGAAAAGGAAGCAAAAATGTGCGCATTCAAAAAGAAAATGGAAATGTGGTACAGCTTTATGACAATGGGTAGGACTTAGATGCAGTATACGAAAGACTCTGAAGTACTGCATGTGATGGGTGGTAGAGGTTAGATGGAAGGCCAATTATCAGAACATTTAGACTATACCGAGGTATATAGGAGGAAAAGTCATTGCTGCAGATGCAGTGGTTATTGCTGGATAGATGGGAATGCAGTATCTGGCCTATTAGATGTAGATCATTGTACAACTCAGTCTAATGAACTACATATAAAAAGGCTGAAATGGGCAAGCACAATAATGCACACAAAGCCTTCTTTCTAAAGATAACAGTACAGGAGAGAAGCCATAGAAGTTGGCATGATCAAAGGAGTGGCTGTGAATATGGGTTAAAAAAAAGTGTGTACCTGAGGTGAGATTTCAGAAGTACAGAGGACACCGTTGGAGAAACAAGAGTGAACAAAGTTGAAGTGGAGACTGAAATCAGCAAGGATGAGGAATGGTTGAGTGCAGAGGCTCATGCGGGTTGGTAGGATGCAGGTGGGGGCAGCATGAGCAGTCAACAGGGACTTTAAGAAACCAAGTAGTTAAAGATGAAGGGTTAGAAGAAACAAAAAAAGGAATCAGAGTAACCAAAGTAAGACTTGGTGATAAGAGGCCACACCATTACTCATGAACCATGCTTTAGTTAAAGCCATAAAGTCTCCCACTCAATGTGTTTGTGGGTGGCAAATATCAGAAAAATCCAGTTTGATCTATGGCCTGTGCTGGGTTAAAACTGATCTGACCCAACAAGCAGCCTCCCTGATAACTACACTGAGGAATGAATCCCAAACAGAATCAGGCCTATTCTCCACTGTTCTCATGAATAAATCCCATTTCAACATTTTCAGCATGGATAAATTGGCTCAAGTACAAGGCATGTTGTGCAGGTACCCACCTTAATGTACCCTGTGATGATCAGCATCTGTAGGTCACGTGATAAAGAATAGGATGACCTGACCATCTGTGACACATACTTCTACATATTTCCAGCTTTCAAACACTTTAAAACTTGCAAATAGAAAAAGGGAGCTTATCCAATAACAGATCGCAAACTGCAGCAGTGAACTAAGGTAGGCATCAGAATCCTGTTCTGGAGCCAGCAATGCCCTGCAGAAACCCAATAATAAACAGGAGCGCCAAAGAAAGAAATCAGTGTACTTTACCGTTCCTAGCATGCACTGGGATTCCTGGATGGCACCGTAGCAACCAAGGAAACCAACAATCATCATCACAGCTCCAACACCAATCAAGATGTAGACCCCTGTCAGGAGAGAAAGGGCAATAGAATCATAGAATCCCTACAGTGTGGAAACAGGCCCTTCGGCCCAACAAGTCCACACCGACCCTTGGAGCATCCCACCCAGACCCATCCCCCTATAACCCACACATCCCTGAACACATCAGGCAATTTAGCATGGCCAATCCACCTAGCCTGTACATCTTTGGACTGTGGGAGGAAACCGGAGCACCCGGAGGAAACCCACGCAGACACAGGGAGAATGTGCAAACTCCGCACAGACAGTCACCCCAGGCTGGAATTGAACCCGGGTCCCTGGCGCTGTGAGGCTGCAGTGCTAACCAGTGAGCCACCATGCTGCCCCAAAATGATTAACATGTAAAAAAGCAATACTCCCCATTGGGAGGCAAGTACATAAATACTACTTAATTCAGCTCATTGCTATACCTGTTCTTTTCTCATTTCATTTGGTGATCTGGATAGAGCCAATTTTACTGTAATTTGGCAATATTCATTCAAGCTAGCAACTGTTGGCACTGCAATTGGTCTGAACATTCCTGGGTTACAACTCCTTATCGTTATCGTTATCCAAAAAGCTGTTGGTTGCATGACAGACAAGGATAGGATCTAGTTTGCCAAAATCAGAGAGGGGGGCATGCAGTCGATTAAAAAAAAAAGACGACAATGCCATGGGTGAATTTGGTCAGTAAAGTGGTGGGGGCAAGAATGTACCAGAACAAGCACAAAGTCTGAAGTAAACAAGCTATTCTAGTGGGTGTGCAGCACCAAATACATCTCACTTCTGAAATATCTGCAGCCTGGTAACTGCAAACTCAATCTCAATCAGTCCCTTTTACAAATGAAAACAAGCCAGTTTCAATAAATGGCACATTCATAGTTATTTTAAATATTTCAAATGTTCTGTGGGTGGTTCTATAATTGGACAAATTAAATATTTCAAATAATTTAGTGTACTAAAAGTGCAAATGTATCTGTGGGTGGACTTATTACTGGATGCAAAATACTAGTAGTTACAGATGTACCATAATTCTGTTTGAAAGAACTGAATATTAGCCCTTGTGCATGCTTTGAGGAACGTGAAGGCAGCCCCATTCTAAAAAGCACTAGGGCATCAGGGTCCTGCCACTTTAACTCCGTAGCACCGACACAAAAACTTTATCCGCTACCTGACACTTTCACTAAAAAGGGACACAAAAAGGTGACAGCCATTTTCAGCCAACTATTCCACCGAAACAAGAAAACAACTGGAATTTGAGTGTAGATTTGTAGCTCGGTTGCTGGTTTTAGATGGTGCGTTCGCAGAGCTGGGGAGGCTTGCTAGCAGACGTTTCATCCCCTTACTAGGTGACATCTCAGCGCTGTTGACTTGTGCTGGTTTGAATTTACACGGTCTGGTTTTTGTTGCCATCAGTAGGTGCTGGCTCCGGCTGTGCATTGTAATGGTCGGTATATCTGGTCTAATTCAATGGTTTGTTGATGGAGTCCGCGGATGAATGCCAAGCCTCCAAGAATTCCCTGACTAGGAATCATGACAGCACACAAGCCAGCAGCCACACTAAGACAGTAACTGAGCAGAGTTAAAAGACCCAATAGATACCATGGACTGGACAAATGTGGTTTACAAGATACCATGCGGAGACTGTACAAAACAGTGTGGGACAAACAGGCAGACTACTAGCAACCCACATCCACGAACACCAGCCAGCAATTAAATGACATGACCAGATGTCCTTGGATTCAATACACACAGACAAGAAAAACCACACTTTCAACTGGGACAACACTACTATCATAGGACAAGCCAAACAGAGGGCAGCCAGGGAATTCTTGGAGGCTTGGCATTCATCCGCGGACTCCATCAACAAACCATTGAATTAGACCCGAGACACCGACCATTACAACGCACAGCCAGAACCGGCACCTACTGGAAGCAGCAAAAACCAGACCATATAAATTCAAAGCAGCACAAGACAGTAGCCCTTTACAGGAGGCTCCACAGCACTGAGGATGTCACCTAGTGAGGGGACAAAACGTCGGCTAACCTCCCAGCTCAGCGAACACACCAACAGCTACAAAAACAACTGAAAGGCCCAATTTCTGACAGCACTTACTGTGACAGTATCATAACAAATGACAAATTACACAACTTCACCCTTTAAGAGGGCTGACTGAATGTGCTAATGTGCCCAGTGACAGATTACAAACACTCCCTTGAATTTAAATATAGTGGTGACAGCACTACCTGAAGTTTACAATATTGAAACAATGAATTCAGATAACCCATGTCTCTAGCAGGGGAACCTAGAACATGGAGTCATTTAAAAATGCTTGCTAGGCCAAAAAGGAGCCCAAAAGAAAACGCTATTTTCCTACACTGAGGGTTTGGAAATCTGAAACACCTTCTTCCAAAAGACAGCGAGAGTGTGGGTCAAATGAAATTTTAACAAAAATTGATTAGTTTATATTCTGGAAAAGCTATCAAGGGATATTGGTCACAATTAGGTAAATGGAGTTGAAGTCCAGATCAGCCATGATCGAAAAGTGCCGAGAACAGACTCAAAAGGGCCAAATGGTGCAGTGCTGTTTCTATGAAAAGCTGAAAAGGAGACAGAGTACCTCCCCTGGTCCCCACCTTGGTGAATGAGGTGCAGTGGAGATGAATAGTTCCTCAAACATCTATTTGCAAAGTTGCATCTCAGCAAAGGGTACTGCCGTCAACATTTCCTGTAGGTGCAAAACACATTTGCCTCTATGTGGTCTCATCAACCACTCCCATTTCCATTAAGGAGTTAGGCCAAGTTTAACAACTTTGAAGAAGCAGCCACCCTCCTAACCTCCTCCTCCAGCAGCACACATGTGAATGCCAGGTCTGTATTTACACCCAACCAGAATAGATGTGTCCAAGCCAGTCAAAACCAAAAAATGTCCAGCCTAACATGTGACTTTCATCCCCTAGATCAGAATTCAGATCTCAAAAGAATCAGAACATTTTCTACAATGAATCACTGAAGACCAAATATGGCAGCAGGTTTTCGCAATGACAATGATTACATTTAAAATAACTGTAGACACTGTTGCAATGCATGAACACCTGCTCTTTCTCAATGGGAACTTTAATGCCAACTGAACCAGTGAAACAAGCAGAAAAAGGTTTTTTTAAAAACCCAATAACCTTGACACACTGACAATTTAACACTCCCAGGAAAAAAAAAAAAAAAAAAAAAGAGGGGGGCCGAAGAAATAGGAGAGAGATTCAAAACAGCAAAATAAAAACATGCTGCACCAAGATAGTGTCACAGCTAACAGGAGATGAAGGTAGCAGTTACTGAACACCATCATGCCTCCTCTGGTTATGACTACAATACAATACAATATATACATTTGTTTGACAGGGGAGTTCATTCTATAAATCTTTTGTACTGAGCTGCAATTCTACTGACTCAAAGACAGTAAGGACATGGCCAACTCCACGCTGCCACAGTGCCAGAACTTGGATAAAAGCCTCTTTTAGATTCATGTGTTTTGAACTTTGTTTTCTTGCTGTGATGTGTTCCTAATCACTAGGCTGGCACAAGGAGGGAGAGTGGGTTGCAAGGTACTGTGATCCAGCTGCTGGGAAGAATTGGTGAAAACAGGGAGGACTTTCAGATCAGCCAACTGACCTTTAAGCAGTGCTGGGGTGATGCACTGTAAGATAACAAGCTGCACTCAAATAAGAGATAGTAAGAACTGCAGATGCTGAAGTCAGAGATCACAGTGCAGAGCTGGAGGAACACAGCAGGCCAGGCAGCTTTTTTTCCCTGAAGGGTCCCAACCCAAAATGTCAACTTTCCTGCTCATCTGATGCTGCCTAGCCTGCTGTGTTCCTCCAGCTCCACACTTATCTTTCACTCAAAACATAACTTTTTCTCTACTTCCGGAGATGCTGACTGACCAATTGTACATTTGCACATTTTCTTGCTGTCTCCCTAGGCCACTCCTCCTCAACTAGATCACTATTGCCAGCTCTTATGGGTCTCATGCCAGTGAGATAGAACAAACCCAGGGATGAGGATGGAGGGGTGTGGGATATTGGTTGCAAGATACGATTCAGTACACCTCTGCCAAGTTATTGATTCAGTTAAAAAAAAAAATATATATCGGCAGTGGATGGGACCTCTCCTAAATTTTGGCACAAGCCGAATGACAGTAAGAGGAGCTACTCTGATGTCCAATGGGCAGCGTCTTTCATATCCAGTGTCTTTGTCTACGCAGGCTGATCTGTCAAGTTTTATTACTTTTGTGCTTTTCTGTAATTGCTTGATAGAACTGAGTGGCTTGCTAGACCATTTCAGTTATGAGCCAGCCATTGCTGTAGGTCTGAAGTCACATGTAGCCCAGAGCAGGCAAGAACCTCAAAATGATCTCCCCTGAAGGGGATTAGTAAACCATTTGGGTTTTTAAGAAACAAGTCATTGTTAATGGTCATTGAGGCTACTTTATTGCTTTGAGGTTAATTTCAATTTCTTCAGCTACCATAATGCCTCTGGAACTTGAATTTGGGTGTTTGGATTAGTTCAGTTATATTACCATAATGCTAGTATCCCAAAATACATTTCCAAACATTTTAATCCTCACCCACCCAGACTCAATGGCCATGTTGCAGCTCTAAAGTAGGGAACATTCTCAAGTTATTAGTGGCACTCAGTTGAGCACAATCTGGAAAACATTACAGTAATGAGTTCCAAGCCGACATTAGACTATAAAAATATTTGCAACAGAAAGCAGCAGCATATCATTACCACACTGTGGGTGGTGAGGCATGAGAAGGGAAGACAAACAGTTGTGATACCTTAAAAGCTCACGTTGCTCACTTTGTGCACCTCAAATACAAATCCTACACTAAAATACAAAGTTCCACATTCACTGGCCACGTCTCTTGTAACGGAAGGACTGTGAGCCTTGGAAATTTTACTTCAGGTCCTGCCCTTTGCGACAAGCACAAGGAGGTTGCACTAAT